GGACTTTATAAATTTATTAGGATCATCTAGGGCTTGGAACAGAAGGTTAGGAACCTTAAAGAAGATGGTCAGTATGATCAAAGGACACTGGAGATGAAGAAGACAGAGAGTAGCAGGAATGGAAGCGGCTCCATTCGAATGGTGGCGGCTCCATTGGGAATGGATGTGGCTCTACTGTGGGTAAAGCCTGCTCCTTTTGGATAGAGTCTGCTCCTTTCAGAAGGGAGTATGCTCCATGGCTGGGACTTCAACTGGATGTGTAATTTGGCTACTGTTTTAGGGTTTTTGGTTTTCAGTGATGGTTTGGATGACGATGGGGGTTTAAATATTATTATTTGATATATTTAAATCCTATGAAGCATAATTTACATACATATGCTATGAAATTAAACAATATGACATTTTAAGTAAATTTGCATATTGTTAAAGGATGGTGTAAGGGCAAAGTTCCGCTCAACCAATAATGATTGAGAAAAATCGAACAACTCATTCAACAAACAATAAAAATAAACAAGAACAGTATATAGAGAAGCGTAGAATTGCTTGATCCTTTTATTGGAGGTCTAAGCCTCTATTTATATACAAAAGATTGTAAAATTATAGTAGGACTCGCGTTACTTGCCCTCCAATTCTTTCTATATAAACATTCTTTACTAATAGAGTTCTTTCCATTGTCTAATTTTCCATACATAGAACTTGCCTTGTACAGAACTTCCTATCTCAGAATTTTCCTTCTACGGTAAATCCTTCAACTGGTAGGACTTGTGCATTCTTGAATAACTGGGCTGAACATATTTTGATCCGGCTGGGCTTGAGTAACGGACCGGATGTTAAATATTAACAAGTTGGGCTGATGACCTATTGATTCGGCCTTGATGGAGGTTGGAGGACAAATAACAATGGTCTTGGGCTATAAATACCCTCAATTTGGGCTTGAGCATGATGAGCCTTATATGTCATTGGAATGTAGATATGTGTAGTGATGACGTGTGCGCTTACAGATGGTTTATTTGGTTAGTCTTGTTTTAGCAATTTAAAATAAACATTATATGATCCTAATCATATATTTGCAGTATAATATAATCATGGATTGTTTATGATATTGTTATACTAAAGATTAATCTGTATGAAATTTTAATTAAATTTGCATATTGATAATGGATGATTTAATTGTTTTGAACTATTTCAGCAAATTAAATGGAGATTATATGATTTTAGATCTTGTGTTGCTAGCTTGATTATGGAATTTATTGATGTATTGTTTTATTTCTTTCATCAATAATTGGATTGTATAGATATAATGCACCGGTATGGGATAGTGGTATTCTAGGGACAGATTAACCAAAGAAGTTAAGTCATACCTAATTTTGTATAAGGGAATGGATTAACTAAAATGTTAAGTCCTCCTTATATTCGAGTCAGGTCAATTATATAAGTTGAATGACTTATAGAGGATTACTTTATACTGGATAGTATGGTTACTGTATTTATATATATGATTATGTTGCCATGATATGAGCTTGAGTCTCAGGATCACGGTTAGGGCACGTATATTGCCTAGGATGAATAACTGGATATAGTAGACATCTAGGTGCCCTGGTAGGTCTAGGTACTCATGTCCATTTTATGTGCGATTTGCATGTTGCCTTCTATTCAGGTTGAGACAGACCTATAGTCTAGTGAGCGTCCTATATTGTGTGTATATATATATACAGATTACTAGTTATTGTTGGATTGACTAGGATGTATAACGTGTATCGGATCTCTACTTGAACTGTAGTAGAGTAGAACTTGTTTGTAGGCCTGACCGACCATTATTTTTCAAGTGTTCGTCAGGAGTAAGGATTGTTCATGCTAAGCAGGGATCATCTATTTCATACTTCTGGATTATCTACATAGGAGTTTCCTTTATGATTCAGTATTTAGTTGTAAACAGTTGTTTACTATTGATTATTGGTTTGAGATTTTCTAGGGGTCCACACAGTATGGATTCTGAAGCTGTATTATTGGAGGATTAATTGTATCAGAATAATTTATTATTTAATAGAATTTTATTATGAGGTTTCAATTAATGGATTATCATTTTAGTTTTCTTTCAGAAATTTATTTATTCTTATTTATCATATTTGTATTCTGTGTTCGATTATTACCGATTTATTTTTTATATCCCCGGGTATTTAGGCGTGGGCCCGCATTCGGAAATCCGAAGGTATCACACAAATGTATTCTCAAATATAGTAGCTCTCAGATGGCCTCTCAAACTTAAAACATAGCAAGTGGATGAAAATAGGCATTCCAATATGCTCTCTCTAAAGACCTCTCATATTTTAAGATTGTCAAAAGTTGCTAAAATGAAAATAAGTCACTTAAATGGGCTCTCAAAATATGGAATGATTGTTGTGTCAAAAAATAACATTTTGAATGAAATGCACCATTGGAGCATAATTGCAAAAATATAACATTTTGACACTATAGCTTCTCTCAAAATATAGATTCGATATGGAAATATAGCATTTTGCATTAGAAATACTCTTAGTTTGGAAAAAAAGATATGCTTTTGGTATTAGTTTAGAAAAGAATATATGCTTTTTTTTTTGGGTAAGCGAAGGAAGAAATAGTGTAAATGTGATCTCTTCTTTTGAGTGTGAATGTGGTCTCTTCTTTTGTTTTATTTGTTAGGGTGAAGTACAATGACACCCTTGAGGTACTTTACAATTTAATGAATTGGACTAATCTACTCTTTATTAACATTTGATGCCCCTCATTAACATTTGATGCAAAAAAAGTTAAAATGCTGAGTTAGAGGAAAAATCTGCACAATAGGGAATAAAAAATTAATAGAAAATTCGTTTGAAATCAAAACGGAGCAAACAAAAATGTTTTGGAAAGTAGACTCATGGAAGTATAAAACTGAAAATTTTGGTGATGATCTGATATCTAGAAGGCTGTCAAATAAATAAATTGAAAACCTGATTTCAAAACGTGAAAAGTTCCAGACAACAGCTGTTTTTGAATTTTTATAAAAATATCTGTTTGGCCAAAAATTATGAAATTTTTTAGAGAATAACTAGACATGCAGAAGGACCTTTGAGAAAAATTTCATAGTAATCGGAATATTACAATACCTTAGAAAAATTAATGAATTTTAGCACAATAAATTAGTGCCATTTTGTGGATCATATTAATTCAAGGGTAATTTTGACATTTCAATATGTCTAATATTTTACAATAAAACTGATTTTAATATTAAAGGGCAATTTCATTTTTTTGAACCATTTAAGGTCATGTTTGGATGATAATTCTGATCGGTTTCATTGTCCAAAATAGCAATGACAATTGGTTTTAACAACTGGTATTAGTTTGGAAAAGAAGATATGCTTTTGGTATTAGCTGTAAAAGAAGATATGCTTTTTATTTTTTGTAAGCGAAGGAAGATATAGTGTAAATGTGATCCCTTCTTTTGAGTGTGAATGTGGTCCGTTCTTTTGTTTTATTTGTTAGAGTAAAGTAAAATGACACTCTTGAGGAACTTTACAACTTAATGAATTGGACCAATCTACTCTTTATTAACATTTGATGCCCCTCATTAACATTTGATGCAAAAAAAGTTGAAATGCTGAGTTAGACAAAAAATCTGCACGATAGGGAATAAAAAATTAATAGAAAATTCGTTTGAAATTGAAACAGAGCAAACAAAAATGTTTTGGAAAGTAGACTCATGGAAGTATAAAACTGGAAAATTTGGTGATGATCCGATGTCTAGAAGCTGTCAAATAAATAAATAAAAAACTTGATTTCAAAAAGTGGAAAATTCCAGACAACAGCTGTTTTTGAATTTTATAAAAATATCTGTTTGACCAAAAATTACGAAATTTTTCAGAGAGTAACTAGACATGCAGAGGAACCTTTGATAAAAATTTCGTAGTAAAAACTTCAATAAAACGATTTTAATATTAAGGGGCAATTTCGTTTTTTCAAACCATATAAGGTCTTGTTTGGATGATAATTCTAATTGATGTCATTGTTCAAAAAATAGCTAACTTGTATATAAACTGTCCATATAACAAACCATATAATAGTCATTGTCCCTATTTGTTATATATAATGTTTTAACTCATTTCTCTTCTGTTTTACACTTTACAACACTCTACAAAAATCTTTTGGCCTAAGGTCTCACATATATCATACATGTCAAATTAAAAACAACAACTGCAGATTTAGAATTTGTCCCATAAACATGCATCCCGGATAGAATACTATTCTTCATCTAAACCCAAAGGATTTGATACATACAAAATTAAACATAGACAAATTTTATGTAGAATTATTGGTAAATATAACAAACAATTATTTTCTCACTTATATGGAGTACCGACGAATTGAATTTAAAATTAGAGAAAATTTAATTTAAACTTGTACTAAATTTTTTTCAATTACAAATTCAACTGTTAATTCAGTGCTCCAAAAGTAACATTACTACATTATTTATAACTTCACATGCCTATATTATTTCCCATTTCATTTTATATGTATCATATATAATAACATTCCTGCTTTTATTGTACTCAACTTGAACCCTCAACCTCCTCATGTATACTTAACACAATTAATTTTACCTAATTCGAGACTTCAATCATCGACCTACTCATACGACAACCAGACACTTAGTTCTTATTTCATTATTTATTCCTCTTAAAAATTCCTTTTTTTCCCAACCTAAAATATACTATTTTCTCATTATTTCACCCAATTTTTTGTTTTTTTATCACCTAGGGTATCCGAGGTTTCGCTCTAACTAATCCCGAGAATCCAGAAGAGGTTCTTTCCACCCCGGGTCGGGTAAGTCGCTGAGTATGACAATTACCCTAAGTTATCGTTAGGAATCGACCTGACTTTAATGCCAGTAAACACCCAAGTTCATGTGATTTTACCAATCCTTTGGAATTGTTTTATTTTGTTTTATTTTTTTATCATCAATCCCTTGGAGTTATTTCACCCAACTTTTGTTCCCACTCAACAAGGCTCAAGACTTGAGAATAGCACAGTTTTTTTAGTATTTCGCCAAGGCAAACGATGTCGTTGTGTAGTCTTCAGGCTGTCGTTCAATCTCGGTGTTGATTGCCTTTTTTTGCTCAATCGACCCGACCTTGCAAGGTCACGAACGGTCACATTATCAATCAAATGGGAAGATGAAAAATGGCAGATTATCCATAATCAGACATTCAATTTTCTCATCAACGCACAATCCTAAACCTCTGTTCTACTGCAATTATACTTCTCCGCCAGAAGAGTGCAACTCTCTCTCTTACCCAACAAACGCATCTTCTCTCTCCTCAGCTCTGCAACACTATATCAACTCAGACCACCCTTCCCATGGCCAAAAGATCCATGCCCACGTTCTCAAAACTGGGTTCAGACCCAACACCAACATCTCCATCAAGCTTCTTATATTACACCTCAAATCTCGTTGTTTGTCATATGCGCGCCAAATGCTCGATGACTTGCCTCAACCAACCCTGTCCGCTTATAATTACATGATTTCGGGTTATATGAAAAATGGGAAAGCTGAGGAATTGTTTAAATTGGTTAGGAGATTAAGTTTTTCTAGTGAAAAGCCGGATGGTTTCACGTTTTCGATGATTTTAAAGGCATCTACTTGTGATGGTGTTTTATCATTGGCAAGTAGTATAGGAAAGCAGGTTCATGCCCAGATAATGAAATGTGATGGCGTGGCTGATGATGTACTTTTTACAGCGCTTGTTGACTCGTATGTGAAAAGTGGGAGGGTTGATTATGCAAGGAGGGTGTTTGAAATGATGTTGGAAAAGAATGTGATTTGTTCGACATCGTTGATTTCAGGGTACATGAAACAAGGATCTGTGGAAGATGCAGAGGATGTATTCAAGAAAACTTTTGACAAAGATGTGGTTGTTTTTAATGCCATGATTGAAGGTTATAGCAAATCAATTAAGACTGCTAAGAGGGCGCTTGAGTTTTACATTGACATGCAACGGTTGGATTTTATGCCCACAATATCAACTTTTGCCAGCATTATTGGTGCCTGCTCTGTGTTGTCAGCATTTGAAATCGGTCAGCAAGTCCATGGTCAACTTATGAAGACTGCATTTTTTATGGATATAAAAATGGGAAGTGCTCTTGTAGATATGTACTCGAAATGTGGAAAAATTGAGGATGCAAGGAGAATTTTTGATCAAATGCCCGAGAAAAATGCATTTTCGTGGACTTCAATGATCGATGGATATGGAAAAAATGGAAATCCAAATGAAGCCCTTGAGCTCTTTAGCAGAATGCAGAGAGATAATAGCACAGAGCCCAATTATGTCACGTTCCTCAGCACAATCTCAGCTTGTGGGCATGCTGGGCTAGTTGCTAAAGGCAAGGAGATATTTGATAGCATGCAGAGGGATTACTCAATGAAACCAAAGATGGAGCATTATGCTTGCATGGTTGATCTCCTAGGGCGTGCAGGAAGTCTAAATCAGGCATTGGAGTTCATAATGGGAATGCCCAAGAAACCGAGTTGTGATGTTTGGGCGGCTTTGCTCAGTTCTTGTCGATTGCATGGTGATGTAGAGATGGCAAACATAGCTGCCAATGAAATCTTCAAGTTAAACGCTGATGGCCGGCCCGGGGCATATGTTGCATTATCCAATACTTTGGCAGCTGCCGAGAGATGGGACTGCGTAAATGAAGTGAGGAAGTCAATGAAGGTAAGAGGGATATCTAAAGATACTGGCTTCAGTTGGGTTGGGACTGATGGTGGTTTAAAAGGTTTTCATGCTGGACAAAAGATCTGAACAAACATGCAAGGCAATATGGAGGTAAAATCTTTTTTGATATTGTTGTACACTGTTCATTCATAAGAATTAATTGTGAAAACGTTTTTCAAATTTTTATTTCTCAATTTACAGTTGGCTTCTGATTTTGTTTAGGCTCTACGAACCCTCTTGTGCCACTTCCTCCTGTATACACAGCACCAAACTAGAGTGAGCATAGTGTAACTGGTTCGACCGTTACAATTGGTAAATCCGGTGTCACTCCAAACACCCGATCCGAAGGTGTTCGGGTCTTCACTCTAGGTAGGTAGGGTGCCAACCGCTAGAACAAAGGCGTGGCTAGAAATTGAAGTATTGTTAACAAGCTGGAATATTGAATAATGATAGCATTGCCAATAATGAAGTTATAGGATTGTCATTGCTAATTTATATTCAATAAAAAGTATTCTACTCTTTTTTTCGTTCTTTTTTTACTCTTTTTCATATGGTGGCCTTAAATAATTTTGGAGAATTTCCTAATCTTTCAGGTAACGCACAATTTGAGGGATAAGATATAGGTTTTGGTAAACAAGCATACTAATGGTGAGAGTGAAGAAATTTAGAACAAAAAAAAAAAAAAATTATAAAAAAGTAATAACAAGTGAGAAGAAGTCCAAATTAACAAGGAAAGGCATAAAAAAGGAGATGTAGTTGACATAGACGAAAAAACTGATTTATAATTGCACCATCTCCATGTTTTGCCTATGCAATGAGCAGGGGAGGTAGGTCTAAGTAAACTAAAGATGATATTTTTTTTCTTCTTCTTTTTGGTAATTGAGGTATCCTTAACTAATTTCCGGAACATCATACAAAACATCCCCCATAAGATCTCGGGCTTTCTCATGCAGGTATAGCCCAAACCATTGTCTGGGCTTCGAACATGAGGCACGAGATTGAAGGTCCGAGTGACTTACCAGATTAGTCAACCCTTTGGGATTAGCTAAAGATGTTAATTTAAAAAAAAAAAAAAAAAAAAAAAAAAAAAAAAAAAATTTGGCCAAATATAAATTAAAAAAAATACGGATAATTTGGGTATGGGAAGGAAGGTTAGTTAATCATGGTGGAAGTGGGATTACACATGTATAATGTGGGGTGGTTGGGACTTTGGGGCTAGATAGGATTTTTATTAACCGGCTGCTAAGAACGTGTTTGTATTAATTTGTCCTACTATGTGATACAACTACAGTTGTTATATTTTGTTTTCTCCGTCAAGCATAATACTATATGTTCTCTTTTCTACAAATAATTCCTTAAAACAAAGGTAGGGAAGAGAAAGAAGAAGGATGTGCTGTGCCTGTTGTTGTGATGAGGATTGTAAATGCCGCCCTTTGGGTTTTCTTCTTGGCCTCCCCTTTGCCTTCTTGTCCCTTCTCCTCTCCCTCATCGGCGTCGTCATATGGATCGTCGGGTTCGTCCTCCCTCTCTCTTCTTTCTATTTTATATATTCATTATTGAATTATGGAGTGTTCTAAGAGGCTTGACATCATTTATTGTTAATATCGAGTTTGTTTTTGTGATGCAGGTTGTTATTGAGTTGCATATGCCCATGTTGCTTGTGCGTGACGGTCATAGTAGAGCTTGCACTTGGCTTGATAAAGGCTCCTTTTCTTGTCATGAAGTGGTTCACTGAGCAGATCCCTTGTTAGATTTTAATCTTTAGCCAGCGGCTCTAGTTATTCATTCATTAATCCATCTCTAGCTACCTGTCATTTTTTTTTTTGATTGAATTAATTGGAAGAAAAAGGATTTTCTCGATCTGAACCCTATTTTTAACCCACTATGTCTATTTTTGTTAATTTCTGTGTTTTCTTTCATAGTAGTTTTCTCTTGATCTAACGATTCACTACATCTTAGCCGAAAGATTGGATAGGTATAACTGCTTTAATGATTCACAGAGGCTTTCAAACCTAAATGGATTCTTGCAGTGTATGTATGACATGTATGCATTGGATGTTGTAATACAATTTTTTTTCTTTTTAATTAGGGCAAATTGAAAAAAAAAAAAAAAAAAAAAAAAAAAAAGGAGAGAAAAAACTCTAGTACTAATTTCTTTTTTTAGTTGACTTCCATTTAGAAAGTAGGGATCGTCAGGCCACCAATGTGTTAATAATCTCTCAGAGCCTTCGACAGCTGTGTATATATATATTTTTTTGTTTAAATTTGATGTGTCATAATAAATTTACACAAATTTTAAATTATTTATTTTTAATTATGATGTGACTGTGTAAAAAAATGACATAAAAATGTTATGTTGGACCTGAAGGCTTATAACAGTAGTAGCAGTCTCTTAAAATTACTCCTTCTGTCTCAAAATAATTAAGTACTTTAAGAACTGTGACTCATACAGTACTCAATTATTTTGGGACATGGGAGTATTATGATTTAATAACCAGTTGCCAAATTGAAAATATTAGGCTTTTGAACTAATGGTTTTGTTCGATTTGGTAAATATTCAAAGAGTCACTTTCTGGCATTTTCTTAATATTTTTTAATTGATAAAAACTCACATATTCTCATTTTTGTTCCGAACCATCTCCTCTATAAAAGGCAGAGGAAAAGTCACTAACGATTGGTGGTGGTATTCTTTTAATGAATGGCTGAACTTTTATTGTGATAACTACTTTTAAGATCACAAAAACTTTTGAATCAGAATATTTTTTTTTATTTTATTTTAAGTTAAAAGCAAACACAAACCCTCTATTTATATGTCCCTAATAAGGTTTGAATTCTCAACCTCCTCATTTGAAAATGAGAAATTATATCTAGAAGCCCTTGCCCTTTGGTGAGAAGACTAATTTTTGTCTTTCCAAAATAAATTATGTTTAAATTTAATTTGTGATAATCGTCAAATAATAATTAACAAAAAAATGCCAATTTAAATGGTTCTGTTTTTTACAATAACATTATGGCGTAGCCTAAAGAAATAATATTCAGAGTGTGAGCTATTTAGAAATGCGGCATTAGGTTATAAGAAGGGGAGTACTCTAGCACAGTTTTGTGTACCGTGTTTTTCCAATTCAATTAAAATTATTTAAAAAATATATATATTATCACACAACAAATTAAATCGAAAATACAACTCTATTACATCAAAGATTTTTTATTTTATTTTTTATTTTTGGAATTTTAAGCAATTGAAATTAATAAAAGGATAATTACAAAGTGGGCCATTTGGCCGAAAACATCCCAAAAAGGGAAAGCAACCCCATGCAGGCCCAAACAAGGAAAGACCCAAACCCACGATTCAAATGTGTTGTTTTCAATGAAGTGATGCTGCAATGGTTGACAATTATTAATGCCTTCCCCAAAAAAGAAAAGAAAAGAAAACAGAGTACAACAGTTACAAATCGTCTTCCAATGAACGAAAACCATCAATCAAACGAGGCCCACCAAAGCCCCTGGTTTTTCAATTAATAACTCTCCTTGTTCAGGGTCCAAGATTGTACACTTTAAGACGTTAAAACAATTATTATTACACATAAATGAGTTAATCTTAATTTATTAATAAAATTTATATCTTAAAATTTTTATTAATTATCATAATTGTAGAATATTAAGTTTCTTTCCATTATTTTTTTTTATTAAAAAAAAATAAATAAATGCTAAAATTAAGGCCCTCATTTGTCAAATGTGTAACAATGATATCCAACCTTAATTAACTAATAAAATTTATCTTAAAAAAATTATTAATCATCAGAATTGTAGAATATTAAGTTTCTTTACCATTATTTTTTTTAAAAAAAATAAATAAATAAAATCAAGGCACCTCATTTGTCAAATGTGTAACAATGAGATCAACCACGTAACTAGACCTGGTTCTTCAAAACTAACTTTACAATAATCAAATCAAATATACAATTCAACCTAGCAGACATTTCTTACCCAGTACGCCCATGGTCTTGAACTAGACACACTGACATACATACATATATATATATATATATCATCTTCGTCTCCATAAATCCACCCAAAACCATCACTAAACCCAGCTCTTAAACCCAAATTTTAACTACTTTTTTATCCCCCTTGAAACAAAAATGGAAGCTGCTAATCAAATTGGCGCCCTGGCCCACCCGAAAGTGTCTCCGATGCCGTGCCTACCCGGCCCGTCGTGCGGGACTATGGGCCGGCACTTGGCGCGTCGGCTAGTCGAGATCGGCGTGAGGGACGTCTTCTCTGTTCCCGGCGACTTCAATCTGACTTTGCTGGATCATCTGATCGCCGAGCCGGAGCTGAACAACGTCGGCTGCTGCAACGAGCTCAACGCCGGCTATGCCGCCGACGGGTACGCACGTGCCAAGGGCGTGGGTGCCTGCGTGGTGACCTTCACCGTCGGTGGGCTGAGTGTCCTGAACGCGATCGCTGGTGCCTACAGTGAGAATTTGCCGGTGATCTGTATAGTTGGTGGACCCAATTCCAATGATTATGGTACCAATCGGATTCTCCATCACACCATTGGCTTGCCGGACTTTACCCAAGAGCTCCGATGCTTTCAGACCATCACCTGTTATCAGGTCAGTGATATGTATTGATCGATCTCATCACGAAGAATTTTGAAACAATAATTTAATGTTTTTGATTTTCTATTTGATCTTTAATTTCGTATTTTATGTTTTTTCTTTTTTCATTTTATTATGACTAGCATATGATACTCAATAATTTTTTCATTTTATTTTATGTTTTTTCTTTTTTGCTAATTATCTGCAGACATTCATGTTCTAATTAAAAAATGGCTATTTTACTATCAAAATAGCGTTGACTTCTGTTGTGTGTGTGTATGTGAGAGGGAGAGAGAGAGAGAGAGCAGCCTGGGCTACAAAATGAGTTACCCTCCTCCGGTTCTGATGAAATCCAGGTCCCTAATTTATATGCTACTCTTATGGGACATTCATTTATATATATATATATATATATATATATATATATATATATATATATTCTTATGTGTGTGTGAAATTGACTTTAAAAAAATTACTGTCCATACATATATATTGTAAGGTCATTATTTAGTATTTTATGAATTTGAGTTTGGGGATCAGACCACTACTAGCAATTGCAATTTGGTTTGCATGACTGTGAGAGGCGTAAGCCTGAAAATTTTGGGTCCAACGGGAGTTTAAATACTCTATTTTTCCCAATTGGTAACTGTAACTGTAACAATCCTCTTAATCTAATGCAATGGTTTTGAAAATGAGCCTCTAATTGTGACAATGATGGGATTATACTAATACACAATGTTTCAGAGAAAAGTTGTAAAAATAACTACTTCTTCGCAACGTACAATTTGGTGGAGGCACGTTTGTTCCATTTATTTGAGATTTTTTTGAGCTTGATGATGTTAATGTTGTTAATTTAATGTGGTGGCATTGATTATGCTACAGGCTGTGGTTGATAACTTGGAAGATTCACATGAGTTGATTGACACTGCAATCTCGACGGCTTTGAAGGAAAGCAAGCCGGTGTATATCAGTATAAGTTGTAATTTGCCTGGAATTCCTCATTCAACCTTCGCTAGAGATCCGGTCCCATTCTTTCTCACACCGAAGTATGATTTTTTTCTCCTCTTATTTTTATTTCTTTGTTTCTGGACCTGAGATGAAGTAGAATAGTCTTTAGTGAATTTGACATACATATTGATTAGCTAAAGGAAAATAGAGCTGAACTAGTGCCTTGTAAAAGTATAAGGTACCCCCACCATCTCTCCATCTATTTATGCATTGTGGTTTTGTTTGTAAAACATTTGCATGAGAATTGTGTTGATCATGTTTAATTATGCATTAATATAAACCGAGCTATAGTAAATTATAAAGAAATTATAGAAAAGGTAGATAGTTGAAAGCACGATGAGATCATTGTAGAGTGTAATGGATGGAAGTTCTTGGAAGATGAAGGAAATGAGAGAATAATTTTAATAAAGTTTGGAAAAGGACTCAGATATTTGAGTTCCATATATGGACCTAGACATTTAGGTATATATAAACTCAATTAGAAAGCTATGCTTTTATTTTACTATTCCTCACTTGTGACTGAATATATAATGATATATTCAAATTTTTATTTATTTTTGGGCATGCTATCATTTCATCTATTTTTTATTCTCACTAATGAATGATTATCATTACTTTTCATGCAGGGTCAGCAATCAATTAGGATTAGAAGCAGCAGTGGAAGCAACAGCTGAGTTTCTGAATAAGGCTGTGAAACCTGTCATTGTGGGAGGCCCCAAGCTAAGGTTTGCAAAGGCACAGCAGGCCTTTGTGGAGCTCGCAGATATTTGTGGGTATCCGATTGCAATAATGCCATCAGCCAAGGGACTGGTGCCGGAGAACCATCCGCACTTCATTGGGACGTATTGGGGTGCCGTCAGCACCAGCTTTTGTGGGGAGATAGTGGAATCTGCTGATGCCTATGTTTTTGTTGGTCCCATCTTTAACGATTACAGCTCAGTTGGATACTCTTTGCTGATCAAGAAAGAGAAATCAGTGATAGTGCAGCCCAATCGTGTGACGGTTGGTAATGGTCCTTCCTTCGGTTGGGTTTTTATGTCAGACTTCTTGACTGCATTGGCCAAGAAGTTAAAGAAGAACAGTACAGCTATGGAGAATTACCGAAGGATATTCGTTCCTCAAGGCATTGCTCTGAAACGTGAGAATGACGAACCTCTAAGAGTCAACATCCTCTTTAAGCACATACAGGTTAGCAAAAAGAAACATGTTGTAGTTTCTTCTCTTCTTCTTTTACCTCTTATAAATTATAGTGGTCAGCAGATGAATCATGATTCATGGCTTTTCTCTAGTGAAGGGAAGAAGTACCCTTTCAGATCGTAATCATACCATTGCTTGGCTCATTGCTAAATACTCAGATTTATGTGCATGAGAATGCGGGTAGCAGTGTCAAAGATTACGTCCCCTTCACTGAGTTTGGTCTCCTTGTCAAAATTTGATTTTGTAGAACTGTCAAAGTATGGCACACATCTCTTTCTGGTTGTGAGAGACAAATGGCTTTATACAATTTATGTAATAAAATTATTTTGACTTAATTCCCTCCCAACCCTGCTGCCCTGACTCCTTTTACAAAAACAAAACCCAGTGAATGTGGGTCCTAGGCAAATTCTGACCATTTGTCCTTCTCCAGAGCCATCCTTGTAAGGATTGTGATCAGCCGCCACCTTAGCATCAACGTCATCAGTCTTGCCTTTATTTCATATGAATGTGGTTGGCGATATGAATTCCCTTTTGTATTCTTTTCTTTTACATGTCACCATATCTTCGGTCAATATTTGGTGTTCAAAATCTCAAGTTTTGGAATTTAAGAAAATTTTAAAAACAGTTCTCCATCTTTAAAAACAGAGAAATGGTCTTGATATTCAAGAAATGCATGCCAGTGCAACCCAACAGATAGCAGTGGATACCCTGCTTCTTCATTATGTGTGCACACAATGCAATTCAAGTATTGTGTTCTTCATTTTGATTATTCAAGCTTACTACAGGAGATGCTACGTGGAGACACTGCAGTAATTGCGGAGACAGGGGACTCATGGTTCAATTGTCAGAAGCTTCGCCTCCCTGAAAATTGTGGGTAAGGACTGTCTAGTGAACATTACATTTTGTTTAATTAGTTAATACTGATCCTATAATTTTATCCCTCTGTCTCATAGTAACATAGGAAAGTCTACTATGCCATGAGGAAAAAAAAAACAAAAAAAAAACGAAAAAGAAAAAACGAAAAGAAAAAATGTCGTAAAGTATTATTAAGTTCTTTCTTTCTTTCACTACGATGGTCATTTTTTTTAACAGCCACTTGACATTATTCCTGGATCATTTCATTCAGATACGAATTCCAGATGCAGTATGGATCTATTGGGTGGTCAGTAGGTGCCACTCTTGGTTATGCTCAGGCTGCTAAAGAGAAACGTGTGATTGCCTGTATCGGTGATGGGAGTTTCCAGGTCAGTCATAATGATGGTTATATAACAGTTTCAATATCAGTAATTTACAGAAAATACTTAAATTTCTATAATATTAAAGAGGAATATAGTGTCAGAAGGAGAATGATAGTTTTTATTGTACAGTTTTGTCACAAACATATACCAGACTGTTTTGCATTATCTTATTATTAAATTTTATAAATTAAATCCTTCCATATCATGTACTTCATTAAGAAAATTGTACAAGCAATTGGAACTGACAAGGGTTAAAATGAGTGTTATAAATGTTGGAACCATAGCCAACACACTCTTTTTCTTGTGACAACAAATTGTGTTATTAAAAATTTTCACAATTCTGACACCTGCTTGGTTATTTTATCTCCTCATATGACGCATAGGTGAATGAATGATTTCTCTTCTAAACAGGTAACAGCTCAGGATATCTCAACAATGATTCGATGTGGACAACGGACAATCATATTCCTCATTAACAATGGAGGCTATACCATAGAAGTAGAGATTCATGATGGCCCGTATAATGTGATCAAGAACTGGGACTACACTGGCCTTGTTAATGCTATCCACAATGGCGAAGGCAAATGCTGGACTAGCAAGGTTAGCATGAATCAGAATGTTTTTAAAACCTTATTTGGATGAAACAACATAAGTGGGTAGCTAATCTGTTGATCCTTTGTATTGTATGCTTCTTGCACACACATAACCCATCATAATTTATTTATTTTGATGATCCATCTTTACAGTTTTTTTTTCCGTCCTCGAAAAAGTTTTCAAACTTTACCCCTCCCCCCCCAAAAAAAAAAAAAAAAAAGAAAGTCTTGAATTCTTACAGGTACTATTTAGTTGGAGTCGGTTTCGTAATATTATCAACTGATGAATCGTGAATATTGGACCTCTCACGGGGTAAAATGAAACTAAACACTTTAAATTAATTGTTCCTGGATAAGATTTGAAGAGTTCATTTATTTAGCATCCCTGAATAGAACATGCCCTTATCTACAAGTAAAATTGACTGATCTGAAACCGACAATAGCATCAATCCGTTGTTTGGTCACGATTATTTAGATGATAGCTCATCAAATTAGTTGAAACTATGGACCACTGGCCTCTCTTCTTCAACTTTTAGAAGATTCATCACATTCCTATTATTATTATGTTTCGGGTCGTCTTTTAATGTATTGATGGATAAATGTCTGTAAACAGGTGCGTACAGAAAATGAGCTGATGGAAGCAATCGCCACAGCAACAGGAGCACACAAGGATTCGTTATGTTTCATTGAAGTTGTTGTGCACAAGGATGACACGAGCAAAGAGCTGCTGGAATGGGGATCCCGTGTTTCTGCTGCTAACAGCCGCCCACCAAATCCTCAATAGTCTTGACATCCGAGTACTTGAGATTACACCCAAAACTTCTTCAAGAACTACAAATAAGAGAAAGGACAATTGTTCCATCACTGGGTTGTGCTTTCCTGTTCCGAAAAAGAGGATTTATACTGGTGGAGATGGTAAAATTACATGTTTTAAGTACGTCTTGACTGTGCATGTATCCTGTATGTCAATATATATTATGCCCCGACCTAGAGTTTTTTTTCCCTTTCCCTGACTGGAGGACTTTTTTGGATTTTACTGAGCTGAATATGCCTGTAATAATATCATGTTACTGATGTATGAAAGATGTCACAATGTATAATGGCAAATATGTGATGTCCTTTACTGAGTGCTTGGTTTTTATGAAAACTGATAAATAGTTCACAGACTAGACTACATTTAGGTGAGTGGAAAATAACTCGAACACATCCACTCACATAAAAAGTCGGATGTGATCAACTTTGGATTCTCCATCAATAAATCTTTGAGCAATTCTCGAAATGGTGATGGCTATCTCTATCGTCCAACACTTGGGTCCCAGATCACTTGCCGGCCAGTTGGTCGGGAATGTCGGTCCCTTAATCATTATTGATATATATGATCCAAATGCTCACTTTTCCGATTGTGTTTGAGACTTTCTGCTCTGTGAACTTGTCCATGGCTTTTTCTTCATCTCATTTTTCGTTCACACACACATTCCTTCACATTCTCCTCACCATCTTAACAATTCCGACCCAATACACCATCGGATGCTACACATCCATCATCAGCTTTGGCGACTCGCTCACCGATACCGGAAACTTGTTTCACTACTCTAACTCGCATAAACCTCTGCCACACTTTGCCTTTCCACCCTATGGTCAAAGCTATTTCCATCGTCCCAATGGCCGTTGCTCCGATGGTCGTCTCATCATTGACTTCATCGGTACACATTTACTTACATATGTACATATATTTATATACATAGAGATATATTTTTAGGCACTACATGCGTTTTTGACGAATTGGGTAATTTGCAGCTCAGTATCTTGGACTTCAATTCGTCCCACCATATTTGGGTGATGGAGAGAATAATGTGACACAGAATTTTGAAGAGGGCGTGAATTTTGCGGTAGTAGGTGCCTCGGCTCTAGATGATGCGTTTTACCAAGAAAGAGGAATCCATGATCCTTCTTCAAACTTTTCACTGGGAGTTCAGTTGGATTGGTTCAAACAAATGTTGCCATCTCTCTGCACCGACACACCTTGAAGTAAGTTTTGCTGACCCAAAATTAACCGAGACACGATCCGAGTGCTCAATAATTTGGTAAAGGAGGGGCAATCTAGTCATTTTACATTTTGCACGTTAAATTTTGCATGCTCAACCATTTTCCTCTCTTTTCTTTATGATTGTTCAACAACTGGGAGCCTGGGAGGTTGATTACTTATGTTTTTTATCATAAATTTTGGCTAATTCATTTTACATTTTGCACACATTTATATATAAATAAAATAATAACGTTTTGAGATAACGACTATAATAATTATTTACCAACAAAAAATGACAATAATAATAATGAGCTTAAATTTTTATTTCATAATATTTGAACTTTTAAAAGTATAGTTAAAAGAGTGCAAGTTGAAAAATATTTAAATTTTAAGGAGATACAAATTAAATTTATTTTCAAACTCTTTATTTTGGGTCAATATATGTGTTTTGAAAAAGATTGGGGGGCCAATGAAAATTTTAATTAATTTTAGAGACAAAATCTACAAATTAATTAATATTTAGGAGTTATTAATAGAATTTTTAAAAAATTGGCTACCCAAATTTAGGAGGAGTGTCGGTGTAAATTACCCTAAATTTTTTTTTTTTTGGTCTGTGATGCTTTTGGGGAATTTTTTTTATTTAGAATATTTCACAATTCACCATTATACACATGCAGTCTTCCGTTTTACATGTACCAAACAATTATCATAAAATTATCTCAAGTGACTCGAGCTCCCTCATATGACGAGAATGTGCAGAATACTTTTGAGGCACTTACTATGTGGACTCAACTGATAATTTAAATGATAATGTGATTAATTGTGATACTTTTCCCTCTTATGCCCAAATATTCTGGGCCATTCGGAAAGTTTGTTCTCCACACCATAAATAATTCCTGGGCCGTTTGGAGTTTTATTTTTTTATTTTTTCGGACTCAAGTACGGACACACCTATTTGAGGAGCTGGATATTATGAAATTGTACTCACAAAAATATAAGTGACAATGAAAATTGTTAAAATCAGATGGATAACAATTTGAGGGTGGAGCTTAGCCCAATGGCAAGGTTATTGTATTATAAATTAAAGGTCACTAGTTCATAACCAAAAATAGCTTCTCGTGGAGATAAGGCTGCATATATCTGACCTTTCTCGGATCTCATAACAGGGGGACCTCATTCATTGGGCTAGCCTTTTTAGTTAGATAGCAGGTTAGTTAGATGAGTAAGAACTTGTAATGCAATATGAGTAGCTGAGGATTGAATTTATAGTTGAATTAATATTGATGTAGGACAATTTTACCTAATTAGTAATTTCTTATTATTTATATTTCTTATTTATTTTATTTTTATATATATATTTTTTTATAGGAAGTTTAATTTTAGTTAGTTTCTAGTAATTATTTTTCTTTTGATATTAGGTTTCTTTATGTTTTTAGTTTCGTTTTAGTGTTAGGTTTTCTTTTATTATAAATATGTGTACTGCAAAGGGCAGATTTAACTTTTATTCATTCAATTATCCATACAAATATCAGATTTTTCTGAAATTATTCTTCGTTGTGTAGATTCAAAATACCCTACTTTATAGATTTGTTATTGGACAGATTCAGGGCAAAACATTTGCCTTTCCCTAGGAAGGATACTAATTAAAACACTAGCTTTAGAGAATGTTCAATGTGGCATTCGAGATCATACTTTCTGTGTATAATAAATTCACTAATAGCTTATAAAATATTAGCAATTAACTTTCTTTTTATGGCCCCGATTTCTTTTTATGTTTTTTTTACTACCAATAATTTGATACCATATATAGTATATACCACTATTATCTATTTGGCTTCCATGTTTAATATATATCTGTCATCTTTGCCAATGCATTAATGCAATATGCAGACTGCAATAAACTCTTTCAGAGTTCTCTGGTTCTATTGGGAGAGATTGGAGGCAATGATTATAACCATGCGTTTACGGCAGGAAAAAGCATAGAAGAGGTTCAATCATTTGTACCTCTAGTTGTCGATGCTATTGCTTCAACCATCAATGTAAGACCTTAATATCAATGTTGGTAAAAATTGCGAAAAAGGCTTATGTAATGTTGGCTACCAAGAATGTGGTTTTATTGTAAATTGTACTTGTTCCTTGTATACACACACACTCACACACATCTTCTGAAAATGATTTTTACATGCAGGAGTTGATCAAGCTTGGAGCGGTGACACTCATGGTCCCTGGGAACATACCAAGTGGATGCTCAGTGGGCAGTCTAACGTATTTCAGGAATTCAAAGGAGGAAGAATATGACCCCAAAACTGGCTGCCTCATCTGGTTGAATAAGTTTGCTGAGTACCACAATGAATTACTTCAGATAGAACTAAATCGGATTCGGGAACTACATCCTCATACCACCATTATATATGCAGATTATTACAATGCAGCAATGCGCTTCTATCATTCTCCCAGCAAATTTGGTACTTCCACTTTTTTAATCTTATAGGCTTCTTATACACATCATTTTACTGCCACTTGAAACGCTATGTTGTTACTTTTGAATAAGGTAATCTTGGGGATGCCACAAAATATGGTACTTTCACCGTATTTTGGCAGTTTCTCGAGATTCCTCATCTTCCTAAACAAGCTAAGCTGAAGCTTGATTTCTGAACTTAATTTCCTAAAATGTTTTTATCTGTTCTATTTGTCAACTAATATTGTTTATGACCTATTATTGCAGGATTTACAAAAGGAGCTCTAGCTGCATGCTGTGGAAGTGGAGGCCCATACAATTACAACTCATCTGAGCCATGTGGCTATCCACCATCAACTAGTTGCGACAATCCTTCTCTGTATGCTAACTGGGACGGTTGGCACTTAACAGAAGCAGCATATAAATGGATTTCGCAAGGTTTATTATTCGGACCATACACCATTCCTCCATTGAACACATCCTGTGTTTCCGTTGCTGTGACTGCTGAATATTCTAACTATCACTAGCTATGAAGCAATGCAATTTTAAGTTTGCTGATCGGTTTTATTCAAGCATATTATTGAATAATATTTTGCTTGAGTTGGTCATATTTCCACTTTCTTTCCATTGGTTTTACAGATATCTTGATCATCTCGTTAAGGTGTATCTGACTGGGAGAATTAACTATTACCTTCTCCATGGTGTTTTATGTTGCAGTCTAAGAGTCGAACTGAATTGAACCATGTAATTTCTATGCCATAATTTTTGGGTTTTGTGAAATAATATCTGCAAATACTTTGGCTATAATTGTTTCTTTTGATTCTTATGCCTTTGAACACTTTGTAAAACTAAATTACTCCGGATTTAAGCCGTCCCCGGCGGAACCCAGCTTGACATGAGGATCTCCGGCAGACCACTCTACCAGGATATGCAGCCGAATCGGGAAACGCTACGCTCCGCCGCATCGTGGCTGACGTCTCAAAGAACCTTGACCGTGCCCTAACCCCAGTCCTGAAGTTCAAGCGCCGTAGCGTCCTCCGCCACTTCGTTAGCGCCGCCGATTTCGCAAAGTCACCACCCTGATCGATGCCTCAATCGGCGACAACTTGCTCCGGAGCAGGTATTTATGCCCCCAATTGCGAGTAACGATCCAAATCAGGTATTTATGCTCTGCATCTTTCTTGGTTTGCTCTTTCATCGCTTTGAAGAATACGAGAGGCGCGGATAGCAGCTGGTGTTCTTGACGTGGTCTTTGTCGGTGATTTTGCAATTACGCATTGGTTGAGATTGAGATTGAGAAGACTGTTTGGTGGGATTTGAGAAGACTGGTGGACAAGCGAATGCACCAGAAATAATAATTGATAATGATGGAGCACTCGCACGGTTCTGATTATGTTTTTGAGACGCTCTGCTCTGTTGACATTTCCATGGCTTTTTCAGCATCTCACTTTTCATTCAAACACATTACATTCCTTCAAATTCTCCCCATCATTTTAACAATTCCGACCCAACACACCATTGGATGCTACACATCCATCATCAGCTTCGGCGACTCGCTCGCCGACACCGGAAACTATCTTCACTACACTCAATACTCCCATTCCACTCCCCCCAACTTTGCATTTCCGCCCTATGGAGAAACCTACTTCCATCGTCCCACAGGCCGTTGCTCCGATGGTCGTCTCATCATTGACTTCATCGGTACATATATTTATATACATACAAATTTAAACTATATGTCATTTGATGAATTAATGGGGTTCGCATTGCAGCTCAGTATCTTGGACTTCAATTGGTACCACCTTATTTGGGTGACGGAGAGAAAAATGTGATCACCAGATCGGAAGAGAATTTTGAAGAGGGTGTGAATTTTGCGGTAGTGGGTGCTTCGGCGCTCGATGCTGCGTTCTACAAAGAAATAGGACTTGATGATCCTTGTGGAAACTTTTCGCTGGAAGTTCAGTTGGGTTGGTTCAAAGAAATGTTGCCATCTCTCTGCACCAACACATCTTCAGGTAGTAAGTTTTGAACTCCTCGGCCATTGGGAGTTTAGTGTGAACAACACTCATTTATAGACTTTCTTATGGATATATGTACCAAAAGAGAAAAAAATTTGCAAATTAATACATCAGAATATGTGATTTCAGTTATTAATGCACAACCTAGTAATAATAGTCAAATTATATCAGGAGTCAGTATATAGGTATTGTGAAATTATTTGTATTTGCAAAAATGTGGTGACACTGCTAATTCGCCCTCCATTTCAAATTCCAGGTGAAGTTCACAGGAAAATAATTAAACTAGTCATGATATAGCAAGTTAATTAATTAGTTAGCTGACTAAGAACTTCAATTCGATCTTAATGCAATATGGGTTGGTGAGGATTGAAGTTATAGTTGTATAACATCTCTGAATTATTATATTTACCAATGCTCTATACAAAATTGGTATGTCTTCAAAAGGTTACACTTCAACTATAGGCTATTGAAGGAATGCAACTTCGCTGTCCAAAATCTGGAAAAACTCCGATCTCAGAGTTAGCTTAGGATGCTATCAGTGAGTCTTGTTACATGTTAGTTGGACAAATTGGCAAACCATTTACCTCCCTTTGGTAGGAAGCTTACAGCAATTAAAACACTTTGTGTCTAAATTTAATAATAGCTGAAAAAAATAGTAGCAATTAACTTTCTTTCTGTTGCCCTGATTTCATTTTAGGTTGTGCTTCTCAAGTTACATGTTTCTCTACTTTTCAGACCAATAAGTTGATGCCATATATACCACTGTAATCTATTTTGGTTTATGTGTTCAATAAATAATTATCTGTTATCTTCGCCAAGTAATGTGCTGATGTAATATCTATGCAGATTGCAATAAACTCCTTCAGAGTTCTCTCGTTCTATTGGGAACGATTGGAGGCAATGATTATGATAATGCATTTATGGCAGGACTAAGCTTTGAAGAGGTTCAATCATTTGTACCTCTAATTGTAAATGTCATTGCTTCAGCTATCAATGTAAGAAGCTAATGTCATTCTTTATGTTTCTATTTTTGATTGATTGCCTTGGTTGTGCTTTTGGTCTTTGTTGCTGTTGTTGTGCTCTGTTTTTTTTTTTTTTTTTTTTTCCTGTAGCCTTTGTATGGGCTTTGCCCTTTTTTTCCTGTTATATATATTGCCTTTTATTGGGGAGTTTTTTTTTTTTTTTTTTTTTTTGCAAAAAGGCTTCTGGAATGTTTGTTGCCAAGGATGTGGGCCTGGTAGTTTTTTGCTTCTCCTATAATTTTCCAAACTGAACTTTGGTAGCCAATAGTACTCCTCCTGAATCTAGTCCCTTCTTGAATCATCTTATGAGTGTGGACAATTCATGTCCAGGGACTCCAGTGTTTCAGGGTGCTTGGTTGCGTTGTAAATTGCAATTGTTACTTGTATATACACACGCACAGACGCATCTTTTGAAAATGATTTTTACATGCAGGAGTTAATCAAGCTTGGAGCGGTGACACTCATGGTCCCTGGGATCATACCAATTGGATGCTTACCAGTTAATCTAGCATATTACAACAACTCAAAGGAGGAAGAATATGACCCCCTAACTGGCTGCCTCATCTGGTTGAACAAGTTTGCTGAGTACCACAATGAATTACTTCAGATAGAACTAAATCAGATTCGAGAACTTCATCCTCATACCACCATTATCTATGCAGATTATTACAATGATGCAATGCGCTTCTATCTTTCTCCCAGCAAATTTGGTACTTCCACCCTTTTAACTTTATGCACATCATTTTCTGTCACTTGCACTACTATTTTGTGACTTTCAAGTAAGGCAATCTTGGCATACCACAAAATATAGCTCAAGGTCACTGTATTTTTGTATTTTCTAGAGATTCTTCATCTGCCTAAACAAGCTAAGCTGGAGCTTGATTTCCAAACTCAATTTCTTTAAATACTTCATCTTTTTTAATCAGCTTTATATACTTCATCTTTTTTAATCAGCTTGAAATACCATTCAGACTCAAGTTTTATAGTAGTTAAGTTATATAATTCCAAGCACCAGTCTTTTACAGTATGCTTACGCATGCCTGGACATTTCATACTCATAAAAAATTGTAATCGCATCAAATATGAAACTATTATTTATGACCAATTATTGCAGGATTTACAGAAGGAGCTCTGACTGCATGCTGTGGAGGGGGAGGCCCATACAATGTCAACTCAACCGCGGAATGTGGCTCTCCAGAATCAACTAGTTGCGACAACCCTTCTCTGTATGCTAGCTGGGACGGTTTGCACTTCACTGAAGCCGCGTATAAATGGATTTCCCAAGGTTTATTATTCGGACCATACACCATTCCTCCATTGAACACGTCATGTGTGCTGTTGGTGTGACGGCTGAAAATTCTGATTATAAGTAGCTATGAAGCAATGCAATTCTACATTTTGTTGGCCAGTTTTATTCAAGCATATTATTGAATAATACCTTACTTGGGTTGACCATATTTTTACACTTTCATTCCGTTGGCTATACAGATATCTATGGTGTATCGGATTAGGGGAACAACTATCACCTTATCCATGGTGTTTTATGTAGCAGTCTAAGAGTCCATGATATCTTCTTCAATGGCAACTGAAATGAACTATGTAGTTTCCAAGACATAATTTTTGGGTTTTATTAAATGATCCGTGCAAATACTGTGTCTTGAGATCTCTGTGATGTTTCTGGTGTGAAAATGTGGCAAGAAATATAAGCTTATGTCTCTCTAAATGCTCCTAATTTGACTGAATAGAGGTGTCAGTGTCATATTAATCCAAAATCTACCGTTGACAAAGTTCAATTAATGACTACAAGAGCGTGCTTTCTAGGTAAATGAACGAACTTTACTTCAAATAAATTGGCTCATCATATACGAGTATAAACAAAAATTTTGATCTTACTTTGTAGCGTTGCAGCATGCCTAACCTTTTCTTATTAATTGTAAGAAAGATTTTAAACAACGGAGCACCATGCTCAGCACTTATACGACAGTAAGATTCATCAGTATCATCTGAAATTGCAGAAGCAGTCACTACTCACTAACATTTTTCTTTAAATTTGGGTTCATGTTATTATTGTTTGGGTAATTGGTGTCTACCAGCCCAAGCTGGATCACTAAACGACTCTCATCCTTTTCTTCGTAATGTCCAACGTCTAGTTTTGTCGACTCATCTTCTAACCATAGTAAAACAATAAAATTTTGTTCAATAATCTATACAATGAGAATCACTAATTACTTGTACAAAATTCTCAGCATTCTCTTTTGTGGAATAATTGACAGATGGATCCTCTTTCCTGCATTTTTGATGCTGGCAATACAACTTTTGCTCATAATATGGTAGCAAGAATTTAGTCATCAAGCCCCCCGGGGGCTAGCAGTGATGGTAAGGTGTTGGCCTTGGGTAATCACCCGCCCGGGTTCGAGCCTTACCCCCTGCTAGAACTTCGACTCATCCGGTATTGTGGTTATGAGGCTGGGCTACAGTATCCCCAGTTTGGTGCCTTAGGGTAGGGTTCGAAGGGTCTTGTCTTGAGAAGTGTAACGACCCTAAACTGAATACCGAAAATAATAAAAAAAAAAAAAATTTTAAATTTTGGCATGACCTCTGCTAAAAATGATCTTACAACAACCTGTTCAAATGAAAAAAAAAAAAAAAAAAAAAAAACAACGGCCTTTCAAGACCTATCCAACCTGCCCCAACACACCATACAAAAGAAATATAATACATTCCTCAATACCACAACATCAACAACCTTCCCTAATTAACCCATCATCGTCATCTTCTTTAGCTTAAGCATTTACATGGTCTCAGTTTACAACAAAAATAAATCAATTATCTTAGTTATGTTACAGGGCAATGATTTGCAAAAATAAGTACTCTTTTACATAGTTTGAGACAATACAAAAAATGGGTTAAGATACAAAAGATAACAAAATATAACTCCTAATCTTCTTCAAGCTTACGGGGGATTGTCATCTGCCACTTCTTTTCTGAACCCTGAAAAATGTTAAATAATAGGGGTGAACAAAATTGCTCAGTAGGTAGTGCCTAAGACACACCTCTTGAGACCCCTTGAATCCACACAATGAATAGGAATAAGGAAATTGGGATCATACCATGCCTAGAGTAAAAGTATAATTACGATACCACATCATTAATCCAATACCACAAATAAATATGCCATGCACTGAGATGCCGTGCCATGCAATGTCACTCCCCATTTTTCCAAAACCATTTCCATTATCATTTTCAAACTGTTAGTGAACCCATCCCATGGCAACTCTATGGCGGCACGAGAGGAGGATTGGCCACTGTCCCTGACCCATGGCAACTCCATGGCGTCGTTTGGGGCCCAGGTAACTCAACCACACTAGGGCGGTCTCCCTAATCCCCTCTAGACCTCACTAATGCCGCGGTCCCTAGGCAACTCCTAGGCGGCCGGGTTTTCATAAAAATCATTTTCAAAATTCTTTCCCAAAATCCATTTCCTTTCTTTCAAATCAATTTTTTCCCATTTCTTCCCGATGATATGCATGAATGTTTCATGTTTCCCAATGCCATGTCAAATGAAAGATTTGTACAAATCACAAATCAACATAAGATTTTCATATTTCACAAATCAACACACTTCCATATAGCAATTTCTAGCAAATTAATCATAATAGGCATGAAAATTTAATACTTAGACATGCTTTACAATATAAAAAGAAATTCTAAAATTATCTTTCATGCTTTCTAATCACCAATCTAGCACCAAAGGCACAATAAGCTTGAATTAATCAACAATTTACATGCTTTATTATCATATATATATCAAGCAACACATAGTCACAACTTTAACACAATATATATATATATATATATATATATATATATATATATATATATATAATAAAGCAAAAAAAAAAAAAAAATTCTACAATTTAAGTATGTTAATCATCAATTAAGTAAAGTAATTCACAAAAAGGCTCAAGAACATGTGAATTAAAACCCCTACCTCCAAAATTATGAAAATCCCCAAATCCAAAGCCCTAGATTCAAAAATTCTAAGAGGCACCAAACTAGAAATTGCTCCTATCAATTTGTAGGCCTCGCCGTGAGCTTTAATTTGCGGCAAACGGCACTTAAAAATACCAAGAATTGAGGAATTAATCAAGAGTGGAAGCTTGCAAAAGAAAAAGAACAAAAAAGAAATACAGAGAAACAGAAAGGCTGCGAGAGAGAAGAAAGCAGAGAATAAGAAAAAAAAGAAAAAACGTGGTCTTATGACCACTTAAAACAATTGTGGGCCCCACCAATTTTTATTTTATTTTCTCCTTTTCTTTTGCCTTTAAATTCACTCCACACACACAATTACATATATGTATATGCATAACACAGACATTACATTCTCCCCAACTTTAAAAGATTTCGTCCCCGAAATCAAGACATACATAAGGAAGAAGACAACGCTGGGTACTTGGAGCGAACCTCCTGTTCGAGCTCCCAAGTAGCCTCCTCGACTCCGTGGTGTCTCCAAAGAACTTTCACCATGGGTATCGTCTTGTTCCTCAACACCTTCTGTTGTGTGTCAAGGATTTGAATTGGTCCCTCCTCGTAGGAAACATCCTCATCAATGTCCACATCAACCTAACTCAAAATGTGAGATGGATCTGGCTCGTACTTCCGTAGCATCGATACATGAAAAACATTGTGGACCCTATCCAACTGTGGTGGCAAAGCAAGTCTGTAGGCAACCTCTCCTACCCGGTCCAAAATCTCAAACGGTCCAATGAATTGTGGCGACAACTTGCCACTCTTCCCGAATCTCATCAATCCCTTCAGTGGAGAAACTCGTAAAAAAACGTGGTCTCCCACCTCAAAGGATAACGGTCGTCTCCGCTTATCCGCATAGCTCTTTGGTCGACTCTGAGCTGTAAGAAGCCTCTGTTTGATCAATTTAATTTTCTTAGTAGTCTCAAGTACAATGTCGGGTCCTAAGGCGGCTGTCTCGCCCACCTCAGTCCAACAAACAGAAGACCTACATGGTCTACCATACAACGCCTCAAATGGAGCCATCTGAATGCTCGCATGATAACTGTTTTGTAGGCAAACTCAATAAGTGGAAGGTGATCCTCCCAACTACCTCCCAAATCAAGCACACATGCCCGAAGCATATCCTCAAAGATCTGGATAGTACGCTTCGACTGGCCGTCCGTCTGTGGATGGAATGCCGTACTCATGTGTAACACTGAACCAAACGCTGCTTGAAGTTCTTCCCAGAACTTCGAAGTGAACTTGGCATCCCTATCTGAGACAATGGTTACTGGAACTCCATGCAACCTTATAATCTCCTTCACATAAAGTACACCAAGCTTCTCTGCATCATCTGTTGCCTTAATAGGCAAAAAGTGAGCCGTCTTGGTCAACCCATCAATGATGACCCATATGGCTTCATTGCCCCTCCGTGACCTTGAAAGACTTATTACAAAATCCATAGCAATATGTTCCCATTTCCACTGTGGTACAGGTAATAATTGCAACAAACTAGCCGGTCTCTGATGCTCGGCCTTCACCTGCTGACAGGTAAGGCACTTAGTCACAAATTGAGCAACATCTTTCTTTATCCTGTTCTACCAATACTGACTTCTTAAATTGTGATACATCTTAGTACCACCTGGATGAACTGCAAAGCGGGAAGTGTGAAACTCCCGTAAGACTTCGTCACGACAAACCGTGGGAACCACTAATAAACCCCTGAACCATAGACCTCCATCTGTATGCAAGGCCTAATCTTTCATTGTCTCACTACTAGAGATCAAAGCGTGAATGACATCTAAATCCGGGTCCTGTCTCTGTGACTCAATCACTCGTACAACAAGAGTAGGCTGAGCCATAAGACTAAACAAGAATGCTGGCTCACTATTAACATCGTCATCAAAACAATACAATCCCATTTCTGCCAGATCTTCAAGCATCTTCCATTTTCGGATGGCCAAACTAGCCAAAGGTTTATGAGATTTCCGGCTTAAGGCATCTGCTACCAAATTTGCCTTGCCCGGATGATACTGTAAGTCAAAATTGTAGTCTTCCAAGAATTTAACCCGTCGCCTCTGTCTGTTGTTCAAGTCCTTTTGGGAGAAAAAGTACTTGAGACTTTTATGATCCGAGTACACCTCGAATCTCTCACCAAACAAGTAATGTCTCAAACACTTCAAAGCAAATACGACTGCCGCTAACTCCAAATCATGAGTAGGGTAGTTAAGCTCGTGAGTCTTCAACTGTCGAGACTCATAAGCCACTACTCTACCATCCTGCATCAACACTCATCCCAAACCATCACGTGAAGCGTCACAATAAATCACATAACCCAAGCCACGCTCAGGTATCACCAACACTGGAGCTGTAGTCAAATTTGTCTTCAACTCTTGAAAGGATGACTCACGGGCTTCATTCCATGTAAACTTGATCCATTTCTGGGTCAAACGGGTCATAGGAGCTGCCAAATGGGAGAAATCATTCACAAATCTCCGATAATAACCCGCTAGGCCAAGGAAACTCCGAATCTCAAAAACATTCTTGGGTTGCTCCCAATTCAAAACTGCTTCAACCTTTGATGGATCTACTGACGCTTCACCTTCTGAAACAACATGCCCCAAAAATTTCACCTACTGT